TATAAAATATAATAAAAATCGTGGAGGAAATAATGTAGGAAAGACTATTTTTATAAATTGTAAATCTAGGACAGATTATTTATTTTAGACAGTGCCTCCTTTACTTTTTTCCAGATACCTAACCATATCTTTTTACTATATGTCTATAGAAAATGTCTATCGAAACCTTACCCCCCCTCTCCCCAATAATAAAACCCTTAAACCCTTTTTTTTTTTTTTTTTTAAATTTTTAAAATTTGGGGTTTGTTTTTGAAACTAATAATTTTTAAAAAACCTTAAACCCCCCCCCCCCCCCCCAAGATTTTCGAATTTGGGGAATTTTTTTTCTTTCTTCTTCTTTATTTATTTATTTTTATCAAGTTTCGTGTAAGTTAAAATTATATCCTCTCAAAAACGAGGCTATATGCCTGCGTATTTTTTTATGTATGCCTATCATTTACCCTGTCACTGCAACGCTTACTACAAGAAATCAACGGAAAACAGAAGAGCAAAAACGGGCATTGTTTTTAAAACTGGATTTATTTTTATTCAGCTGTTCTATTATCACAGAACTTAAATACTTATGGAAATAGCTTAGCACAACCTACTCTGTCCTGTATGGAGTTTAGTCCCATCGATGGACAATCACGTGGTGAATGCACAGTAGGTACACGGAATCTAGATCAATAACAAATTTCAATATCGCAAGGGCATACCCTAGTTGAATTTAAAAATTCAAGCTATTAATTGTTTCTGCATATTTTGTACTTTCTGGAAAGTGCTGCTGCTTTGAATAGAATCTGCGTTTTAATAGTAAAAGTTTTTAGTAAATAGGCCAATGTCGAAATATGTTTGACTTTTACCAAATATTTTGTGTACTAATAAAGTCATGCTCTCGATTTAAAGAAAGCAGCAGCACTTTTCAAGTTAAGGAACATACCCTTTATTTATATTCAAAAAATGGTCAAGATTTATTATGCCCCCCCTTCGAAGAAGGGAGGGCATATTGCTTTCCTGCTGTCTGTCGGTCGGTCCACTTAGTTTCCGTTTATTTTCTTCGCAACCGTTGCACATACTGAAATGAAATTTGGTATACTGATATATCACATAAATATCTAGGTCAGGTTCTGTTTTGGGTACGATCGCACCATTTTTGACAGTTATTCCCCTTGGACTTAAAAAAATATCAATTATTTGCAGTTTCCGTTCATTTTCTTTGCAACCGTTGTACATACTGAAATAAAATTTTGTATACAGATATATCACAATAATATCTAGGTCAAGTTCTGTTTTAGATAGGTTTGCACCATTTTTGACAGAGTTATGCCCCTTGGACTTCGAAAAATTCCAATTTGCAGTTTCCGTTCATTTTCTTCACAATCGTTGCACATGCTGAGATGAAATTTAGTATACAGATTTATCATATGAGTATCTAGGTCAGGTTCTGTTTTGGGTGCCATTTTTGACAGAGTTTTGCCCCTTGGACTTGGAAAAATTCCAATTTTGGGGGGAGGGGGGCATATGTGTTTTACAAACATCTCTTGTTTAGTGTATGTCCTTGCGAAAGAACGATTTTATGAGGCACCTCGATGTAAAATATACCTAACCTAAACATAAAAACACGATAGAAATATCTAAATACATTCTCTCGATAGTTAATGACTAATCGCACTAAACAAATGATATTACCCTATCCAAAACCTGTAAATAAATCATTCTGTTTTATAATAAAACGCATTTTTCATTGTTAAAAGATTCCCAAATCTGCCTCTCACAGCACATGAAATACGTCATTTTGGTAAAAATGACGTCATGATTGACAAGTTCATCGAGATCAGTGATTTCTTTAAAACCAGCTGTATGGGATTTAACTAGCGACTTTTGTTAATGCATTGATAAGTTTTATTGTTGTTTATTATGCCAATACAGTTTAAAGTTGCAAATTATTTCATTTTCGTGTAATATGAGGAATGCATAAAAGTCATATGTCTGGTGTGACGTCAGTTACCTTTTCCCGTATAAATTAGGCCCCGCCCCCTTTTTTCTACCTTAACAGTGCTGCGAATATAGAGCATGACGTCACCAAATCTTACAATCTCTTGATTTGCTCACTAAGTATGCACCTCTTAACTAGAGGAGAAACAAGTGGGCGGATCATAGATCTTCTAATTTCAAAGACCGATTTTTGTACTAAAGACTTTCCAGTTTCGCTTTCCCCTAAAAATATTTGATTGCCTGATAACAAAGGGAAACCTTATATTACGCAGAATGCTCAATCGCCATTTTGCTCTCCACTCGGAGTTCCTCTGATGACTCGTAAGACGCACTTGGAGCCGAGGATTGCTGATTGGTAAAGTTCGGGAAAACAGTATACCCGTGACGTCATTTTTCACAGCGTGACGTGGAGCAGTGGCAGTTTGCATTAGGAAATTGCTGGAAGCTGGTAGTGTTCACATCGCCGCGTTATTCCTGATCATTTCTTTGGATTTAAATATCACGATTGTCAAGAATAATGGTACATGTTTGCAGTGTGCATTGAGAATAGGAATCGGTATGTATTGTTCTTTGCTGGGTTAGTATTTCTACAGTTGAAGTCTTCATTGATGGCCAGCGTTGTTGACTATGTTCAACAAGTATTTCAAACTTGGGAGTGAGTTTAGCGATAACGGTGGGATCGTAGCTTAATTAAAAGACGGATCGTTTGAAGGATTACTTAATATTGCCGTTTATACGAAGGAAAATGCAGAGATTAGCGAGTAAATGCGGACACATGCGCAGATGGGTTAGTCTATGCAATGCATGGAAATCGGACTAACCCCACGACAGTAACGCATGCGCAAATGGGTTAGTCCATGCAATACATGGGAAACTGACTAACCCCTCAAGCGTAAAATCAGATTCACTGTGCAAAACAAAATTACTGTAGAAAAAATAATTAAAACTGAGAAGAAAAAAAATAAACAAGAAAATTTGAGAATAGAAACATGAATCAAAATCAACAAATTTGCAATATTTCAATTTAATTTATTTGGTAACCATATACACTCTTACCCACTTTGCCAACATATTTCAATTAAATTTATTTGGTACCCATATAAACACTTTCCCACTTAGTTAACATCTACTACAGTGGAAACTGACATTTAAGGAAAAACTAAGGTTACGTATAGGCACTACACCTGAAATTATGATTTACTTGAATTCCGTGATAAATAATTATTCCGAGATTAAATAATACCCAGTTTTAAATGTCAAGAATTCATCAGAAAAATATAATGAAGACCTGACATGGATTGTGACACACATCAAGAGTAAGCAGTCAGGAGAAAATTTTTCTTTATGTCAGGTCCGTTAATTAATAGTTAATATCTTCCACTGAGGCCAAATTTCTTTTGCACAGTTCTCCATCACTAGTAAATAGAAGAGTTGAGATGTTCCATGACAACACCGATCCAAGGAGTAAAGAGAGAATTTTGAACGAATTTAAAAAGCCTTCGGGAAATGTGCAAGTCCTGATTTCAACGTTGGCATTTGGTATGGGAATAAAAATTCCTGATGTAGACATTGTTGTGCATTGGATACTCCCAACAACCTGAACACAAGTGAATGAAATTCTTAAATATTGTGCTTTTTTGTTTGCCTTGTATAGAGGCCTGACTGGCAGACTATACGTTAAATTTTAACATAAAACGTTCAAATGGGGACAAAAGTTAATTTTCTGGCAACTGCGGTGTTGGCTGGAATACCAATTCGGGTACGACCCAAAAAACTTATAACATAAAATCACCGGTGAACTGAAAACTGTTTTTTCTGAGAAATTGTTCTGTTTTCAAAACAGGTGATGGTAAAACAGCAATATGTCCCTTTGGAGACCCAACCTTCGCAAAATTCTCTCCTGTGGCGACACTTCCAAAATTAGACTCCTCCTACAAAAATATGTTTTTTTGTTTAAACAGAGAAAATTCAAACAATGATATAGTCGTAGAGTACATGTATCTAAGTAATTTTTTCTGGTATGACCCCACAAAGAAATTTAAGAAAGAAAACATAGTATGTTCGAACACCCGCCATCATTATGAAGGAAATATCCAATTTTCTTTAAAACGACAAACCAACTGAGACTTACAATAAATTATCAATTAAGTGGGCCAACAAGTATATGACCTGTATAGGACAAAAAAAATAAACAGCTGAGAAGGTATTGAAAGATGTAACCAGCAAGGGATGAATAATAAAAAGGAATATCTCAGAATATCTTAATATATCAAATAAATATCATTTATATTTCTCTGGCAGTTTTTTTTTTCACTTAAAAAAATTGCAAATTTTGTTTTTGTATGATGTTTGTGGCACTTTTCTGATTTTCAAAGACAAATAGAATCTACTTTATAAGTAGACGAATTTATTTTGAAAGGTATTTTTGAGACCTTCATTACCTCTTTCAGAAGATAATAGATATGACTTCACATAACTACATAGGAAAAGGACCAGATTTCACATGCAAAAAATGTGGAAAGCCATATAAAACCAAAATTGGCTTTGAAAAACACTAAATTGCAAATTGTGAATCGTGTGGAAGGATCGTCTGCTTAAAATATAATTTGCAAAGGCATAATTGCCAATCTCTATCAGCATCAGTACATAAATGTAACCAATGTACAAGGATTAACAAAAGTGAACCAATCTTAAAAACACTTTTGTCCATATTGTATGATATGTAATGTATCATACAGTTTTTTTTAAAAGTTTAAGCAACACAAATGCTGCAAACAGATCTTTTCCCCCCTGAAGCCAGATGAAAAACAAAAAAATCAATGTTGAAAAAAAGGAAATCAGCAGTAAGTCCTCTACCAAAATTGTGAAATTCATGGCCCCGGGGTCAGGGGTTCTAGTGTAGGGCGGGGCTAAATAAGTAGGTAGTGAAAATGCATTATTTCTTTGAAAATCTTCTTCTCTGCTCCTGGGTATTAAATAAACCAACTAAGTACATAGTTATGATGAGCAAGAGTGCCTCTACCAAAATGGTGAATTTTATGGCCCAAGCGTCAGGGCTGCAGCAATTGGTAACAACAAATGACCAAAAAGAAAAGCACGGACAAAAATTATTTCTTGATGCTATTATTCTGAGATCCTTGAAAAGTTTAGATGGGCACTATGCTCTGACAAAGCAAGATGAAAAGAAGAAAGAACTTAAATATTTCAAAGCTGCTTATAAGAACATGTCCAGCGAACTGTTTCCCAGTGCTAGACAAACATGCGTCAAAAACTCACTTGAAAAGCTACGAAAACCAGAGAATCTGCCAAATGAGACAAAGCTTACACTGTTAAAAGAATACATTTCAACTGAAGTACAAAATGTAGTAGGGAACTTTAGCATGAAAAACTTTGCCTGGTTGAGGAGTCTAGTTGTTGCAAGGCTTACACTTTTTAATGAAAGAAGAGGTGAGGAAGCATCAAGAATGTTGAAGGAGTGGGATGATGCAGAAAAGGGAACATGGCTGCCAGATGATGCCATTGAAAAAATTTCTGATCCTGCAGAGAAATATCTTTTAGGCAAGTTTAAGTTGGCATATCTGAAAGGGAAAGGGAAAAAATTTGTACCAGTTCTGGTTCCAGTAGACCTATTGCCTGCTATCAGCATTTTGACAATGAACAGATCCGGATTCGGTATAAGGGAGGAGAATGGCTTCCTGTTTGCCACCAGAAATGGGTTATCCCACTGTTCTGGTTGGCATTCAGTCTCAGAGGTGTGCGAGAGGGCGGGCGTGGACATTTCCGTAACAGCGACAAAAATGAGACATAGGATATCATCAATCTATGCCAGTCTTGACATGACGGAGGAGAATAGGAAAATATTCCTTGAGCATATGGGACATGAAGAACACATCAACAGGGAGAATTATCAGTGTCCTCTTGGCATTAGAACAACCTGTGTGATGGGGAAAATGCTAATTTCCATGGAGGAAGGTATGCCTTTGTTTTTCAATCATGTTTAATTACATTAATGCTGCATTTGTATATTGTATTTTTAGTTCACGTAATCAAAGGCATATGAAGCTAGTTTGTGTGTTAAATGTCCCTCTCGAGAATTTTTCACTCACACTTCATGATGGAGAGATACAAATTTTAACCTATCCCAAGTTATGTTATATCGTATAACAAAAGTTGAAATAAGCTTCATTTTTGAAATAAATACGGGTTGGTATGAGATCAAATTCATCATAGTTTCATCTCGTAACCAACCCGTATTTATATCCCGATAGATGTTTCTTAAATATTTTAAAGATTTATAACTGTTACATTCATGTGTAATACTGCAGGTTTAAGATACAATATACAAGTACCACTAAACACCTTATTATTATTAGGTCTTTCCACCTTTCTGTGGAAAGACCTGTTGATATTGTTCTGTTTATTATTATTTTTATTATTTTTCTGCATTGATCATGAAATTAAAGCAAAGATTAAGGTCATGGTCATCTTCCACATGTATGAATGTGTGCGCGCAAACAAAATGTTAAATGATATACAGTTGATATCATTGTAACTCTTTTCCATTTTTAAATCAAATCCTTTGATACTGAGCAAAAAAAAAGAAGAGAAATCTAACATGTACAAGAATAAGGCACAAAAAGGGATATGGAACATGTATAACGGTCCCCTTTACAATTAACACTAGTTATTAATATTTTTTTTCTTCCTGGGAAAATTTTGTCCTTGAGTGATCTTGTAAACTATACACATCAGAGTAAGGTAAAATGTTTTTAGGGTCAGGAGACATGTTATGTAGATTGACCGAACAAGTCATTTTGCGCGCACATGCTTGCAGGAGGGCTCACATGCAACACGTGAAATGACCAATTTAATTGATTTTGGCGTAACTTTTTACATTTTTGATGAAAATCTTCATAATATAGTTTCAATATGCATAATGCTCAGGTGACCTATAAGGCCCATGGACCTCTTGTTAAGTATATATGCTAGATTTACAGGTCAGAGGTAAGTTAACTTCAGCTATATATAGTGGTTGTGGGATATACTAAAACTAATGCTACAAAAGTGATTTGTACACTGACTCTGTTAATTTATTCCATAGATTTGTTTTATATTTGCATGTGATCCTATTTTTTTTCCCCTTTTACCCTTTAGTTTACCTTTTTTAGTATATTGGTCAAAAAACCAGCTGTGTATTTAAGTCTTACTTTCCTTATATAATTATATATTTGAGGGACGTATTGTTTTAACCACTGCATGTACTCCTTTACCCATTTGTCAGTTATAAACCTCTGTATATTTTACCTCTAACTGTCTTAATATAGGGGCATGTGGGTTCAAATCCCACCGCTACTTAATCAGGAAAGTAGTGTTATAGACTATGGCTGGACACTATAGAACTACTAACCACACCTTGGTTACCTCCCGTTATTCTGTATTTTGGTAGTTTCAAGTGAGATTTATTTTAATGTGGTCTTTCTGTCTGTTCAGCTTTGATACAATTCAAAGATGATGAAGACAAAGATTTTTTCAGTCATGATACAGAATATAATGCATTAAAAGTCTAAAAAGAAAAAAAGGGGGTGGGGGTGGGGGTTAATGGGTTGAAGTGTATTTAAAATTTAAATATATATGTTGTTACATTTTAAGGCTAATTCATTTAACTTAATTGAAAGAAGTACACAATTTAAAATGTCTTAATTAGTATTTTAATCTCTTAACTGCCATGTCAAGTTTTGTTTGTAGGTAAAGAGGTCATTCTTCAGTTTTTGGAAAGTGTCAACTTAAGCAGCCTTGCTGGGTTAAATGAACAGGAAAAGTACCAAAAAATAAGAACAAAACTGTTCAATGACAGGAAAACACTTAGAGTAAAGGCTGTAACTGCCATGAAGAAAATAAACAAATAAGTTTAACAAGTGTTAAAGGTCAAGATCTAATAAAGGTCTTGAGACTAATTTTTGGGGTGCTAGATCCATTACGATATCATGATCAATTTCGTTTTTCTTTTTCAAAATTTATGGCTCTATATCGAATATTGTTGAAGATAAATTATTTTCATGGAGTTAATAAATTATTTTCATGGAGTTCAATTTGAACTAAATACCTGTATTGACATTATTTTAAAGAAGAGGTCAAGAACATACAAATTATTGATTTTTGAAAGACTCTAGGGAATCTGGATATATTTTCTTGGTCTGATATGGAAAAAAAACTCTTGTATTCATGACTGGTAGCTTAATTTTTCAGTGGAAAGGACAGTTTAAAATATGGTTTTTCATCTTTTTCACCTGAAAATTATCCCTTGAAACACCTTATATGACCAAGCTAAAGTTATGAAGCATCATTAAAGGAATTTATTTACTAAATTTGAAAAATCTGTAGGCACCATTTATTTATTTAATCTTGACCTTAACAACATTGATTGAAGAACTTATGAAATCATTTCTGAATCATTAATGTAATTCAAATTTTATATATTGGTTAAAACAGGTAAATTTCAGTGTGAAGGAAGCACACATTGGGGCATATTTTAATTTTAAATCAATAAAAGTTAATAAAGATAAGAATAACTGAAAAGAAAATTAGTTATTCATCTTTGAATTCATAAATTCTTGGATGTCCAGTCTCAGGTATAAAGAAATAACTTACAATTTGATTTTGTAACATTTAATAGTGAAAAATCAAGAATGTACTCAGTTCAAATGGGACTTCAGATTGTTACCTTAGTATTAATAATATGTGTAACATTTAGCAAATTTGGATAAGTTTTTGACATTAATTATTGGGATATACTTATTAAAAGCAACATTTCTTTACATTATAAACATTCAAGTTTTCGATGGAATCAAGTGCCATTTTATAATGAGAATTATTAACCATTCTTTGATATCTCAACAGAAATGTAGAAATATTACATTTGTACCAACAATTTCTTAATAATGAAGTTTACATGTATTGCATTTAAACTGCATTGAAATTTTTGTAGTATTGTCTGAGTGCAGATTTATTGTTAGATTTTTTTCTGTTTACTGATGTTTTATGTAATTTTTAGCTCACCAGAGCCAACGACTCGTGTGAATCTTTCTGATCATATTTTGTCTGGTGCCAGTCTGTCTTTAAACTCTTCATATAATTGACTTCATATGGATAACTGGACCAGGCCTTTTTACAAGAGAAGATAACAGCAATAAATCAATGGTATCATTTTAAAAATTTTAGAAACCAATGAGTCCAAAGAGTTGACAATTTCATGAAAGCATTCTTGGGTTGAGTAGATCAAGTTTTTCCCCATGACCCCAGTTGGTAGGAGGGGCTACTATGGATAACCAAAGTTTTAGATATGTATTCCTAGGAAAATTCATCAGTAATCTTCTCTATAGCTAGAAGAACAGTCTTATTTAGTTACATTTATACTGAAGAATCTTCAGATAGAGAAGAAACAAATTTGTTCAAATTATGACCCGCTGGGGGTAGAGAGGGGTCACAACTGTTGATCAAGTATCTAAAATAAAAGATAAAAGTGTAGAGAAAAAAGATTGAAGGCTTTTAAATCAAAGAAATACCGTATAGAAAAATTCTTATACAGTGTAGGTTCAAGTTTGTTCAAATTATAACCCCTTTTCCCCAAACCCTTTCATAGTGATTTAGTTCTTCATGGTTTTTGCCAGCCATATTGCTCAGGTGACTGATTGTGACATTGGCTTTGGTTTTTTTTTTTTAATAGCTCTACTGGCCAAAGACCAAAAGAGCTTATGCGATAGTAGTTGTCTGTCATTCGTTCGTCTGTTAAAAAAAAAAATTCAAAATGCTACTCCTCCTCCGGTTTTGATCCAACTTCAAAATAACTTGACACATAAGCAAAATACACAAAAATAAAACTCAATGAAATTATTCAAAATGCTACTTTTCTCTTTCTTTGTTATAAGCACAAATCAGTAGAGCTACAGTCTAGACAAAGAGTTCTGGTTTTGTTTTTTTTTTCTCGGTTCGATTGAAATTGATCAGAATATTCTTCATGCTAATCATTTAATGTATAACATCTACTATGTACTGTACAAGGAAAATGATATATTTTCATTTATTACATTTGCCTTTTAATGTCAATGTGTTTATTTTAAAATAAACAGCAATGGAGAATACATAGAAGGTATTTTTTGTATTTCCTCTTTATATTACTGCTTGAAATTGTCCCTAGCTGCAAAAACTGTAGGGAAATGGTTTTGTATTTTCGTGCATAATAATAACGCAACTCATCCCATAAGGAAACTGTGCAATTTACGGAGCGAAATTTTCTGCGGAGGGTTGGGATGTAAGCATGGGACATTTAACTACCTTTTATTCCCTAATTTTAGATTTATTTCACTACCAAATGTATAAATTATTCACCTCGTAATCCTTTAAGTAGTCTACACAGGGTATTAAAGGTTGGTTTGAATTTTTGCCATAAGGCAGAAAAATCAAATCAAGGGAGTTTATCTGCAGAGAAGTTTATAAGGGGATAGGAAGTGAAAAATATACAGTTAGATACTAAAAACAGATTAGAAAGTAGTTGAATGCCCGATACTGAAAAGTTGAGAAATACACCTCAGCCCTGTGCAGAAATTTTTTTGCGCCGTAAATTGCACAATGTGTGCATTACGGGATCTGTAGGGTTATGGTCAAACACCAACAGTTTCTACAGCGTTATTACGACTTAAGGTGATTCGAACCTGTCGCCAAAGTAATTGGATTTTTTTTTAAAATGATAAGAACGATACTAGAGGATTTCCTGTCTTGAATAATGACAGTTTTAATATGGGTCAATACGCTAGTTTCCATGGCAACGGCCTCTGAACATGAGAGTGTTGAACTTGTCTGTTGTCCAAAAATAAACAAGTGATAGACATAATCAAAATTAAAAAATAAAAAGATTTTATTTCCAATCGTATTTTTATGTCATGGAAATGAAAGATAATAACATTGTCTTCCTACAGAATAAATAAAAGTATTGAAATAGTAAATGATATTTTAAAAATTTAATCCGAATTTCCTCAGACTGCTCTTAAAAATGCCATTTTCAGCATGACTACCAATTGATGAAATGGCAAAAAATCATACCAAGAGTAATTGGAATTTTTTTCTTTTAACTTTCTTTGAATAGCAGTGAAAAAAAGCTTTAAACTTTGAAAAAAAAATTGGTAGGTTCATGAGTCCGGAAGAAAGATATAATCATCTGACTTTCATTGGGTCTTGCTCAATTTTTAGCCTTTTCCAAAAAAAAAAAACTACATTTATATATAAAAAGATAAACACAAAAAATCTTAAAAGTATGCATTAAATAATCAAATACATTGTATAATTTATCAATTCTGAACATTTGAGGTGAAAATATTCAATAAAATAGTCATTAGCATCAGAAACATTAAAACAAGTAGAGCTTTTCAAAAAAGCTAACCGTCTTCAGCAACAATCTTAAACAGTAAACTGATCTACACCTATCCGGCCGTATATTTCTTTTGAATATTGTATTTCTATACATTAGCTTTTTACTGGCATTAGCCCTACCACAGTTGTCGCTCGGTTTGACTGGCCGAGAGCCAATCTCTCACCAGAGGGCGTTTTTACGCTTCGCGTGTAAGCGGAGCGCGCCCTCTGGTGAGAGATTGGCCGAGAGCTTTCGGCAAACCTCGGCTGTTCTTCAAACAAGAAAGGAGAAAAGAATAATAACAAATTGCAAGGCCTGCAAGCTATAAAAATCAAATTTTATTTATAATGAAATTAAAGAGACCTTCTTATTTATTGCTTTAAAAAATACCATGTTATTAAAAATTAATTACTGCTGATTTTGCTGTTCGTTTTGTCATTTTTTAAGATTGGAAATCTTGCAAAATTGTTAAGTCGTACGAAAATTAGATCATCAGAAAGTTATCTCCCTTGCCTTGAACAGCATTTCAACCAATGATATAATTGAAAATTTTCTCATCATGCAATTTCTACCAATCACAAATGAGAGGAAGTGCATAGTCCGAAGACTGTAAAAAACTTCAACTATACTATACCGTCTTCCAAGGAAGACGGTAATAATCTCTCAGTTCGAATTTCCTCTGACATATTAGAATTAATGCATTTTTCATGTATGCCATGTAATATTTAGGCCAACATTCTTTTTATTTTTAAGTTTACAAACCTGCCGTTCAAATTTTTGAATTATCAAGGGAAAAAATGAGGAAAACAAGATTTTTTTCTTTCCGATGTCAAATTTGACATAGGTATAGCAGCACCATAGCTTGGTTCAGTGTAAAAAAAAAAAAAATCTTGTGTTTTTTATTTGCTTTTCGTTTTTTGGGGTTTGTTTGTTTTGTTTTGTTTGGGGTTTTTTTTGGTTTGTTTGTTTTTTTTTCTTTGGTTTGTTTTTAATTTTTATTTATTTATTTTGTTTTCGCAATAGTCAATTAGTTATCTCAGATTTTGAATTTCATAAAATTGTAGATTCTGAAAATTCTTTTTTCCTCCAGGGATAATTATACATTATAGATAAAATTAAAATACTAAAACAACATTTGCATACACATGATAATTAATTTGGATACTACCAATTAATGTACTTAATCAAAGAATTGTTTCCATTATACATGTACATTATAACGTTATGTTGTATTCTAGTCTCTTGTTTATCTGTTAACATGAAAAATGTTTTTTTTTTTTTTTCATGGGGCCCTGAATTGGTAATAAATCGTTCTCTAATTCGATAATGAACTCATTTAATAGTTTATTTATTTATTTTCATATCTAAAAAATTAAAAATGCTTCATGTCCGTGCTTGATTGATGACTATTCCTTCATTTTTCAATTGAAAGCCCTATATGAGGCCCCAATTTGAGAATCTGACGAGGAGTAACTTCCCTTTCATTTTAAAATATAAACAAAA